TTATTATTATTATCATCATTATTATTATCATTATCAGTGTTGGAAATAATTGTGATGCTTCATATTTGTTTTGGAAACCACATTAAAGTTTTTTCAGGATTCTTTGATTAATAGAAAGTTCAAAAGCATTTAATTGAACCTGAAATGTTCTGTAACATTATAAATGTCTTAACGGTCACTTCTTACATCCTTGCTAATATAAAAGTATTGCTTTTTTTCAAAAAACAAAACAAAACAAAACTTACCGACTTACTCGCAACCCCCCACCCAAGAACCCCTCCCCCATCATATTCATAATATCACAGTCATATTGTAATATGACTATATGCAAAATGATGTAGACTAGGATGAAGGATAACTGACCCGCAGAGCTTCAGTCTGGGAGCCCAGGCCTTTGGTACACATCTCCATTACTGAATACGAACAGAACGTCACTCGTACTTTATACTGACTGACAGCAGAAAGCCACAGAGACGGATTGGTCTCCAGCTCCAGAGGAGGAACCAGAATAGACTGATGGCCTGAGTACACACTGCAAACACAAACATGATTTGCATTACTTTGCATCACATAAATCAATATGTCACTAGCCTCCCAAGCCAAATACATCCACACTAAGTATCCAAACTGTGAACTCTCTCTCACCTGCAGAGACACCAGAGGGCAAAGCCCAGGCCACAGTAGGGGTCCAGACAGATGGTGATCTGGCGAGAGGGGTACAGCTCACACTGCAGCTTAATAGAGCGACACAAGGCACTGGTGGCAGCATGGGACATCTGCGAGAAACACAGCGTTAGAAATGTCAATCCCACATTTTAAAACGACTGAGTTATTGGCACTTGAATGATGGGTTAGACCGCACCTTGACCCCAGCAAGGATTCCTGTGGTAGAAACACTGAAGTCCAGGTAGGCGAGCATCTCTGGGGTGGGAGGTTTGTAGATCTGAGGAATTCTCTTTCTTGGGAGATCATCTGAATGGAATGAATAAACTTAATTGATCATTTCTTTTACAAAGGACTGCAATGATACAATAGTAAAAAAGTGTAAATGATGTCTTTACCTGTGTCCAGTACCAATGGCCACGTTTTAATATCCACAGCAGCCGCTGCCTCTTTGGATTTCAGTAGTTTCATTATTGCTTGGGTTGTCAGAATACATACAGACTTACTGACCTGTCAAACACATGCAACAGGATAGAAAAGTTACAGCAGGGCATACAACATAATGTTTAATCAGTCAGACACTGGCTTTAGGCTAAACTATTAATTATTAACATAAATTAGTTAATACACACACACACACACA